ATCTTCAACGGTGGTCGAGTTCTATTTATGGGTTCCTCCGTGACACACACCTCACGAGCACACCCGCGTCCCGGCGCAATAGTATACTCAATACAGGGCGATTCCCTCAACTCAATGGTCTACTAAACAATAATAATAATTCAATAAATTGAAAATCAGATATTATTTTAAGAAAACCAAAATTCTAAAACGTAAATGGCTGTAAACGTTATAATGATAATAACTAGAAATCACATTTTTAAATCAAACTGATGGCGTGGATGGGAGAAGGTAAAAAATGTCGAGACTCAACCATTGACAACTTAGCCAAGTGATAAAATTCTCGTCTATTATATTATACATACTAGATTTATTAAGATATTTCTAGATAAGACAAACAAATATAATAATTTAAAAACTTTGAACCAACTGTTCAGAGAGAATCGCTCTGTATAAGTGACTTATACAGTATAACATGACGTATTGTTATTGTGATAGTTCCAATTTTTTTTTTTTTTTTTAATAAGCTAACAATGTGCCGTTTTTGGAATGATCTTCCGGCCGCCACCCCCCGCATTAAAAGCCAATTATTCCGTTCGGAAAACGCATACCAATATATTAATATTATATACTCAATACTCTATGTACAGTGTACACCACACCATTTCGGATACCATAAATTAATCAGGATGCGGTCCACACCCAAAGGGTCGTGACGTCGAAATAAATATCCGTCAAATAGAACCACATCGTTGTTTGGATAAGTAATTAAATCAACAGATATTTAACTGCCGATAGTCATTTTACACCCCACACCGACAATCACACACAGGGGGTTCGACGATAAAGACGACCCTCCGGTCATGAGGAGGCCATTTTTACCATCCGATATTCGAAATATTATTACGTTTACGCAGGCATCGATTCGGCATGTTGTCTTATATACTATAATATAATATATTCCCCGGTCGTACATATACATATACGCTCGACGGGAGTCCTGCAGCGGTGTTATTATTAGGACCACTATACTACACTACCGCGGTGTATATAGGTACATAATATTATTATTATACACGGTTTCGAAGCGAGAATGTCTCGTAGCAGCAGGGACGACCCTTGTTGTCGTTGTAGAGATATCGTGTCCAATCGACTAACTCCCAAACAAAATTAAGTGGACAACTCGTATTTTGTAAGTAAAATGTAAAAAAGATAGGTACAACCTCGGGTACAACACTACTGTCTACTGTATAATCATAATGGGTCGAACGCGATACAGAGAAAGGCTTATGTAATAAGTAATTCTCCGGAGTAACACATCGTCGTCGCAGAACAAGTTTAATAACATTATTACCTATGACCCGGTAAATATCGCACGATTGTCATGATATCTAAAATCCTTTGATAAATTCATACTGTTATTTCTTAGTTAGTCGTTAACTCATTACGTTATTACTTCGATTTGTAAACAACAATAACGATAGAAGATAGAATAGTAATAAATTATATAAATTATATAATAATACGCATAAACGATATATCTCGACCTTGTGTCAAATGTCAATGGTCACCGTCACTATTATTACGGTCACGTATATCGTAACGAGTAAAATCAGTGTATAGATAAGGACGAATATTATAATTGCTTTTTAAAATTCCCACATGCGGACATATAATAATGGTTTCACGGAACACATCCTGTTTTCGTATAAACGAAAAAATTCATGGTAGTACAACGGATAAATTTACCGAACAATGGCGCAAATGATTACTGATATTATAATATTATTTGAATACAAACAAAAATATAATATTATGAATTATGATAAAGAAATCTTCTGAATGCCAGTAAACGACAACAGCAAACTGACTCACACATAAACGGCGTTATAAAACTCAGAACCTCACATATTATATACGGTTAAAGATAACTAAACAATAAAACTAACAAAAACTGATTGTGTTCTCTTTCTTAATACGACTATACCCTTTAACCAATCCTTCAGTACCATCAATAGGGTTTCTGGGTTTATAACAATATAATGTATATTATGCGAGTACGGACTCGACGAAGGCACATGGTCAGTTGTTATTATTAATACCTATTGGTTGGTTTCTTTTGTCATTTATCACTCGAATAAAAGAAGAGAAGGAGAGGGAGTGCCACGAAAAATTAAACGTACGACATTTTTCTTCTTCTAGACATTCTTGTATACAAATCTTTGACAATTAAAATAATTAATGTAATAAGTCAATGATTAACGTCAAACATACGTATGTTATATCATTATGTGATCGATTATAGTTCATAATGTTATAGGTAATTAATTCGACCATGTATATCAGATTCTCTTAAACAGTTAAACATAGTGTATAGCTACAACTACTAAATAGTAAATATTACAGCTGTACCTCACCTATTATAAGACTCTACGTAGTTATCAACATAGTTAATAGTTATTACGGAACGTACGAGGTGGTTTATTTTGTCGTTTAGAACATTAGCCATTACATTGTGTAAATATATTCCAATAAACCAACGTCATAATATTATTGTCCTGTGCGCAAACTAGAATAACTTAATAAAACGTATGTTAACTCTAGGAAGCCAATTAGAAAGAATATAAGGGGCTTCAATGAGTCACAGCTTACTACAATACGATAATGTTAGTGTATACAACGCGAACGTCATTGAAATTTTGTTTTCGTTGAAAAAAAAATTTTTTAATCACACCTTTTTTAAGCGCCTACCGAAATACGATTTAATAATAACAGAATTCAACAAATCATAACAACGACAATGCTAACTGATACTTTTTTTTATCACAATAATATTAATTTATAATACAGTGGTTTGTGCACTTATTGGTATTGCATAGGTGATTGAAGAACATTTTTTTAACACAACTTAATATGATAAAATTTAAGAACTTCACATCCTACACAAGTGCAACTTAAAGGAGGTGTGCAGAGATATTAAAAGTTTATACCTATGTAATATTTTTTCTTCAAAATAAATAAGCTATTATGATTATTAAGTAATATTATGTAAGATAATATCCAAAATCAGTTGTTTAACTTAAGTCGTATACTTAATTAAAAATGAACAATACAACAATTTTTTTCAACATTTGAATTTGAATATAACAAATATGCATTAAAATTCTTTGATTTGTATTAGTCCTAGTGAATATTTTTTGATTCTGAGCAAGGTGATGAATATATATTTTTAAACTGTGGACTGTTAATACAATTTAAAATTGCTTACTGATATTATGTACCTATTGCTTAGTGCTTTTTGACTTGACTATTGTGTAATTATTGTAATACAACATAACAGTAAAAAACACAAAGATTTAAAACAAATACAAATTGAATTATAATATTATTTGTTGTATAACCAAATACTGAATACAATAGTATAGTAGCCAGTAGGTATACTAAGTAATATATTACTATAACACTATACACAGTAAAACCTCTAAAGACCGTATACTCTCAGTCACTGACACTTTTAATCGGAGGAGTTGTTTAGGGGAGGTTTCACTGTATTATAATAGATAATAACTGTATGAAATAAATAAGAAATATAAGTAGGTAGAAGATAACTATTTAATATCCTACACAACTTTGAAATTTTATAAGATTTTAAACAAAAATAAAGGTTAAGGTCCCAACACACTGCAGCAAAGGCAGAGGTGTTGCGGTAAAATGAGTCAGAAAGCGATTTACTGCCACCAATAAGACAAAATAATTTAACAATGTTACTACTGCAGTGTTCTGGGAGCTTAACTGAGTACTTTACAGTTTTATCTAGTCCCACATTTTTATAGTTATTGAATCATTCAATATTTCAACGTACTGAAATTTGAAAACCCTGTAAGTTGTTCATAACAAAAATGTAAAACTATAAAAATATTATGAAATACCTACAATAAATTAATTGAATCAATTGCATCAGATGCATAATTAAATATAGAAAAAGATTATTATTATTTATTTTAGGTATTTAAGGACAATTAGGTTACATTGAAGTCACAAAATTATAATATATATAGGTACCTATACACAATTGGGTTTTGAAATATAAAAAATATTGTAGACTTATCTTTATTTATAAGATAATGTGATTAGATAGGTCTAATATTTAATCAATTATAATTTAACATATTATTATATTATAAATTTATAAATTTTTTTAACTTGACAACTATACTTAAGGATTGATTATGTTATTTAATCAAACATTATAATTTATACTTTAAAAACATAATATAAGTAGGTATACTAAAATAATTCTAAAATTATCATGTACACTGGAATCCATAAAGAAGATGTCATGAGAATAAAAATAGGGAATAAATATTTTCATATTTAGTATGGTTTTGCAAATATTGTTATTATACAATTTTCAGTTCCAACTAGAAATAAATATTTAATTAAAATAAATAAATAGGTAATTACATAAGCTAGGCGCACATAGTTTATTCACATTTATGTAATTCAACTTCAGGTAGTATTTAAATCTAAATGTTTTTTTAAACGACTCAAGTATTTCAATGACTAGATATTGAAATAAACTTATTAAAAGTACCTAACAACATACCTAATGTTTAGTCATTGATAAAAACAAGTAATTTATCATCTATTAAATCAAATATCAATAATCTACATTTTTATGATTATGTTACACATTGAAGTCATATAATATATTAATATGTTAACAATTATGATAACACAAGTTATTAGGTAGGTAGGTACCTATTGTAAAACAAAAATAAGATTTTGTATACTGAATGTTCCAAATAAGTAAACAAGACATATCAATCTCTTTAAATTCCTGATGGTTTGAGGCAAAGTATTTACAGAAAACAGTGGAATTATAAAACAAAGTGCTTTAAGATTTAATAATAAGATTCATATAAGATGCAAATAAATTTTTACCTGATTAAAATTGAAATCACCAGCAACATTTGACATTGATTGATGCACACAAAACACAAAATTCTAAAAAATATGGCTTATAGAACTGTACAGCAACAATAACTCTTCTTCTCTTTGTCATTGCTGAAATTCATTTCTCGCACAATTTCTGCAAACACTTCATTGACATTGGTACGGTTCTTGGCACTTGCCTCGACAAACGGACAGCCCCAGATCTGGGCTAAAGTGTTTCCCTCAATCGTTGGAACCTCACGTTGATGTTCTAAATCGATTTTGTTTGCAACCAGCAATATGGGCACTCGCTCTGATCCTTTCACCCTGGTGATGAGCTCCTTCATGGGTTTAATGTCCTGGAAGGTCTGATGGTTAGTCAAGCTGTACACGACAACAAAACCCTGTCCATTCTTTATGTACAAGTCGCGCATACTGGCAAACTGTTCGGTGCCAGCAGTGTCCAGTATTTCTAATACGCATGGCGAACTGTCGACTTCGATCTCCTTCCTGTAGAAGTCCTCTATGGTCGGGTCGTACTTCTCCATGAACCGGCCAGACACGAACTGCACGGTCAAGGCGCTCTTGCCCACGCCGCCCGAGCCCAGCACGACCACTTTGAACTCGCGCATCTTCGTTGAATGGCCAACTGCAGAACGACCACTGTGCGCATACGGACGACCGCTATGACCGGTTACTGGCGGTGTCAGCAGTGAAAGACATGTCGACTCAGAGTTTCTCTCCTCGGAGTTGAAGTACCGTTCGCCGGGGGATGATAAATTATATTGATATTTTGATATCGATCAGCTGTAAGGGGATGCCAAAAAAAAATTAAATAAAAAAATTATTTTAGAAAAATAACAAAAAACGCAACTAGGGCCGACGGATATCGAATCTCGTCTACTACTCTTGAGTGACCGAAAAAAATGACTTAGATATTATAAACATATGAGACTTACAGCGACAACAACAGCGACAGCAAAAGCAGCAGCAGAGCACAATGAAACGACGATTACGCACACACTCCCAACAATCGCGTTTACGTTCACGCACACACGCCCAGTTTTATCGCGTGTGTGTGCGAGTGCGAGTCGCCTACAGTGGCGCCAAGGTTGTGTCCGTGCATTTCCCGGCCGCACAAAAGAAGATTTTTTTTTTTCGCCTTGTAATTATTTTATATTTTCAGTTCACCGACGAGTGACGACCGACATTCAATTTAAATTTTTATAAATTATTATATTCGAACACTTTAACACTTAAAATAACCAACATCACCAGGTCGTACGCAAGTAAAACTGTTAAAGACAGAGTATAATTTTTCCATCAGTCTGTCGATCGTCCTACACTCCTACGCATCGTTATAATACGACGGCTGTAATAATAATAATATTTTAACAATAATAGACTATAGTATCACTGCGAATTCGACGATTGAGTATTTTTAAGTAAATAGTAATAACTAATAACTGGCGGCAAACCGTCCTCGAGTCCCGTTTGTCGTTTTTTTAATATTATTTAATCGCGTGCTAATCAGAGCGGTAGTCGTCGGGAGCTGCACGTCACGAGCGACGGCGAACGATCGGTAGCTAAGTCTGAAAGCGAATATAATATAATATTATTATTAGTATTACGCGCGGTAGACGGCAGCCCCTCCGATGTCTCAGACAACTACAACACTGCGCTATATGCCTATATAACATACAATACTGATTACTCACTCCGCGCCCGCGGCCACCGACACCGAGAATCTGTGAAATAATAAATACCGCGATTCGCGATTATCATGTTCGTCCATTCGAAATCGTGATCGTGATATGATTACGATAGGCGAAATAATGTAGGTATAGGTATTTAATAAATAATTACCATAAATCGGTTATAATCGTTATTATTATTGTTGTTGTTTTATCTCTGCTAGTCGGGACAATACATATTTTTATTGCATTCGGCTTATCACTGGTGCGCTCGACCTATTGTGATTTGTGATATTACAGTTTATATTATCCTATTCTGCTATGGACTTAATATTATTTTATACTTATAAAACGCGTTATTAAATATACAACATACGACGTGTCTTGACGTCTTAAGCATAAATCATGACACATTATAATACATTATTATTATTATTATTATTATTCGCATACATACAATAAATAATAAAATAATATAACTACCTAGTAGAGTTTTTGTAGTCGGAACTCTGAAATATTAAACAACGACAAAAGTACCTACGCCTATGCCCTATATATATAAATATATACATATAGGTATGTAATATACGTTGGTACTTGCAACATGCTGTAGCATATAAAATAAATATTAAGCGTAATATCTAATATACAATGCTGAACATACACACATAATTATTTAATTTCAAAATTTAAACGATTCATAAAAAATTAGGTTATAATAAATTGTTATCACTGTTTTGATGTAAAAATACTAAAATGTCTCTTGTAACTTACTACCAATAGTGAATAAAATATAGGTAATTCGTTAAAATGATAAACCTTACCTTACAATAATCATTGATCATTTTGTTGGTTCCTTTTTAGACAATATTAATTATTATGTTTTGAAAGAGAAATACATTAATTTATAAGGTGGTAATTACTAATTGCCAACATACAATTATATGTACAAGGAATTAGTAATTATTGTATTAGTGTTACCTTTACCTGCTACAAAAATAAAATATAATATATAAATATGTAATATTATATTATACAGCAAATTGCAAATAGCAATCATACCCCTGGCTGGCTGGCTGCTCCTAATAAAAATGAATTCTTATTTATGAAGTTTATTATTCATGTTAAATTATTATGTTTTTAATTATAATGATGTATTGGTTACCTAGTTAATTAGTGGTTCTAAAACATTATTTTTACAATATTGTACGTTATTAGATATAAATATATAATAATATATTATCAATATATTTATATATATTAATATCGTTTATACTTTATTGTGATGTAGGTATCTAGTTATTACGTATTTTGTGTTAAATCGAATATTTACTTGACTTGTTTGTATAAATACGTCACGACTTCACTTAGAAGATTTAGTAAGTATTATTTGACATAAATATTATATTTGATTTAATTATTTAATAATTAATATTTTATATTTTCCAATAGTCAATATAACTTATAAGTACATATAGAGATTTTAAACAACAAAGTATTAAATGTCGTAATAAAAATAATTTAGTATTACTCAGAAAGCAGTGACATTAATAGTCATTTATATGTAATAATTATGTTTAAGATTCACGAATAATAATATAGAGTACATATTATTATTACATAATTGAATATAATAGTTTTTAATTGTATAAAATACCTTCCAATTAAATTTATTTATTCAGATATTCATTATCATATATTATTATATTCATATCTATTTCCTCGAGTAACTAGTAAGTGTTTAATGTTTTAAAATAATGTATAAATAATATAGCTATTATAACTATAGACACATAGTAAGTAGTAGGTAGGTACATGCCTAAGCTATATAGTATAGTTTATCATCTATATAAACTAAAAACATACAATACATTATGTTCATATTTATATGATGAATCGATAGTTCTATCCATTTGAGATATTATTAATATTAAATAAATACCTAGTCAAGTTTTGAAAAATATTATCAAAACACTAATTTCTAGAAAAAAAACTCAACTTTCTTTTCTTTAAATTATTATTTAATGAATTTTTCCAATTTATTGATGTAATATTTTTAATGTATTACGCTATGATAGTTATATATATATTTATAACTTTAGAATAGTTATAGGTATTTTTCTATTTTCATTCTAGAATTTAAAACTTTTAACAAGTTGGTATAACATAATATTATTAATTAAAAAATTAAACATTTCTACATACTACATTTTTACCAAAGGTTAAGTTCGTTTCGTAATAAATATATGTACATATGTTATGGGTTTATGGGTAAGATTTAATGCAGTAGTGCAGTGGTGTGGACGTGTGGACAATATCCTCCTCCGACGTGGATACTGGATAGTAGTAGAACGAAAAAATTGTGAGGGATGGAATAATGTGAACACTCATTTGATTGGGTAGGTATACAAATCCATCGATTATGAAACTATTAAAAAATATGAAAAACAAAGTGAGGGCTGATAAAGCTATATTAATATTTATTGAAATTGGGTAAATGAGGTAAATTGCTTACCTATTTATTTATTTACTTATTTATTTTGACTTACAAGCCACATAAAGGACATTTAATATAAAATGTATTAAACAATGTATGTAAAGAATTTACTAGGGAAGAATTGAGTGTTGATGTATTCTTGACTAATATAGGGCAAAATATAAGACTAAAATCTAATTAAATTTGTACCTATCACCTGTGTATTTTTTTTTAATATAACATGTAAAATGAAACTATATATCTACCCGTAACATATAAGTAATATATTTATTTACAAATAAAAAAAATCATTAACAAACGTACTTATATTTCTATATATCATTTAATAAAATGGGATATATTAAACTATTAAAGAGAACCTTTTTTTCTGGAAAACTTAAAAATATTGTACAAATTGTTTTGAACTTTTAACATTCAACTTCGGTGTTTTTAAAATTATTATATCATTATGTATATATTTTATCGACACAATTCCCTTGATGAGTCATTAAAATATGCATGTATTCAAATAAAATATCACACATAATATTATTATGATATTGACATCCATACGTTGAATGTCCATGGTATTCATTAACATTTAAATTTAAATATTGTATGAGTGGACATGTTTAAATTTGTGAAACTACCTAGTTCGGTGAAAAACTATGAATCAATGAAATTAGCTACCGGCCGTGGCCAGATATAATATGTAAATATGTTTCATGTTGGACTTGTTTAGTTATGTTATGTGTAGAAATAAAGTAGTGCTCAATTTTAAATTGTATTATATTTTGTTAAGTTTATACTTTATCCTTTAGTTTATAACTTACTGTCATTTACTATTTAGTACAAAAACGATAGTATATTGAACGTGTTATCTGAAAAAGAAAAACATATTATCACACAATAGAGACTGATATCGCTAATACGCTTATCACACGTCATGTTCCTTTTTTTTAATTATGTATATTTCACAGATATAAAATACTTATTGATATTTTATATCTGTGGTATATTTTTAATTCTATTTCTAAGCAAAGTCTGTTTTACAATAAATCCTTAGCATTATTATTACATAATTACATAATTTTATACATAATTATTTAACCAATTTGATTTTTTAGATATTCCCTTTGATGATTTATTATTATTTTTATTACTTAATAATATAATATGCTAATTGTCGATACTATAATTCTAAATGTGGGGGATGGAGTGGCCGAGAGGATTAAGGCGTCGGTTGCGACGCACACCGGCGCCGGATCGAACCCAGGGTGGCATTTTTCTTCGGGCAAGTAATGGTGTCCGGAGAGAAGACGTGCTGCCATCCCCCACCCGGGCATTGCAGATACCTACGGGTGCCCAACAAAAGATCTGCCAACCCAAACACACGTGCTTACAAACTTATAATTTTATTTCTTCCCTACAAACCAAAGAAAAACTAATGGCCCTAGTTACTGGGCTTCATGATTAACTTAAAAAAAATAAAATAATATTGAATGTGCAATGTGGTGAAATCACAGATATATGAGTAGATGGTGCGTATTGTAGGATAATTGATAAACATGTACATTGTAGATATATATTATATATGCACATATATAATATATTATATTATGTTATACAGAGTGTATCATCTTATGTCATTTACGCGGGTTTTTTTTACGGATCGATGACATAAAATTTTGTTAAAACGAAAAAAGGCGTGTTTCTTTATTTTTAACAGGCAATTTTTTATAACAATTTCAATATATGTGTGATTAGTGTGAAATATTTAAACTAAGAGGATGTCGGCTCACAGACCACAGTTTGTTTTCTCTCTCTGGCCCATGCGCAACAATGCAACATTGACTAGACGCATTCGGGCATTCCTCAATTTTTTTTTGGTTGTATTCTAAGTATGTACCTCATCTTTCAAAAAATATAAAGAATATTTTTGAGAGTAAACATATCGATCTGCCAAAATATTGTCTCAATTCAATTTAATATCCATTGAATAGTACAATATATTTATTTCTTAAGTCAAATAATAATAATAATAATAATAATATATATAACCAATAGGTATGTCAAAACCTCTAAAGTATATTATCCTCTATAATTTTTGTTATAGATGATTTTATTTTAAGATTATTCAAAAAACATAAAAAAAAATGATTTTACGTGAATGCGTTTTATGTCTCGAGTGGATTGGAGAAAGAAAACAAATATTGCGCAAGTATCCTTAAAATATTATGAATTATGATTCATATTATGTTAATCGTTATCAATGAATAAATTATTAATTATTATCGTGTCATCGTGTACGGTGTAAGTGGTGTAACACCTTGTTCCGGTATGTGATGAGGCATTGAGGCCCACCGTCCACCAGCATTATATAGCATTATAGCTGCAGGCTGCTATGCAAATGCAATCACGGCTATAGTCTTATTCATAGATAAAGAAAATAGGTATATCATCAACTTATGGTTATTAGGCGAGTTTGCGCAAAGATGGCGTTCGGTTTGCGCCGCTTCTCATTGGCTAAAGTATTATCATTTATCATGATAATTCAACCACAGAATTCTGTGGTTTGATATCTCGCTTTATCAAATCCTCGGACTAGTCTCTGTGACACGGACTAAGATATACAGGACTGGACACGAGATGAATATTGTGGTTACGAAATGTTTTACAACAGGCGGAGTTCGGGGGGATATTTTCCTTTTAGCATTACTAGCGCCGTCTTAGTGGATACTTATGGAACTAGATCACATTATTGTCATCTAGTTCCAAAAGTATCCACTAAGACGGCGCTAGTAATGCTAAAAGGAAAATATCCCCCCGAACACTGCCTGTTGTAAAACATTTCGTAGTCAACCCCCCCACACCCTCCAACCTTGTCGTGTCCAGTCCTGTATATCTTAGTCCGTGCTCTGTGATCAAATCATTTCATTTTATCACTCCAATTGGTGATAAACTGATAATAATTGTTTACGTCGGCACTCGGCACGGCACCAATTATGCACCATTGCACTATATAGTTCATGAAATAACATTATTATTATTTAATATATTTTATTAATAATTCGTTATAGTCATACTTCTTTGTCTATGTCAGACTACATAGTCTATAACATAAATTGTTAAGTATAATATTCAAAAGTTGAGATTATAAAATTGTAGTTCCTAACAAATAACATTTATACCTACCATTAAGTTTTTGACATTTTGTGTATCGCACTGTCGCTGTTATATTTTCATGCAAACATTTAAAATTCAATTATGGCGAATATTAAGCCGGGACGAGTATCTGATAAATTGGTTCGATGGGAGGCGGAGAAGGATCCATTGGCACCTTTAAGTCAGTCTCAAATCAATGCATATCTGAGTTTGTCCGAACACATAGGCGATAGTGATTTTATGGTATGTGTTTAGATTATTGAAAAATTGTGTATTGTATTGTTTTGATATCTAGATATCAATATGATAGTATATAATTTTGTTTAGTCTTTAGAAATCGAAGACCACAACAAAGATAAACCCAATATAAATGAAGAGCCACAAATTTTAAATATAAATATTGAATCTGCCGAAGATGTGAGTATTAGTTTTTGCAGTGACGTAACCACAAATTTAAACAAGGAGTAAGGACTATAATACCTAGTGACAATTCAGGGGCGGACTGGGAGATTATCGGCCCAGGGGGAAATATAGCTTAGCGGCCCTAAATATCTTACTATATTATTACTATTTCAGTTGTGATTTTATAAATATTATGAATGTTTTATTACTATAATTTAAAATAAATGTAAATTTTACTTGTAGAACTATTTAAAAAAAAATATAAATACCTTTATAAAATACAATTTCCTTTATTTATCTTATGAACATAATATTATGTTAGTTTCATCGATAACAAAAATAATAAATGATTTTTAATTACATACATTTATATTACATAAAATATAGTAATAGAGTAAACGAGTAAAGAATAGATCCGCAATTATTTATTAAGTCTAAATACAAACCAGTTGGAAATTGATCGCATGTCAATGACTAATAGAAATATATTATTAATTATTATTTATTAGTTGACTACTTGACTAAATATATTATACAAGTTTATTGTTGGACGACCGGCCCAAATTTCACAATTTAGACCGGCCCAGGGGGATATTTCCCCAAAGCCCCCCTGGCCAGTCCGTCCCTGAGTGATATTTGTTTATAAATTCAAAAATGATGTATTACTAAAAATTTTTTTTTTTTTGAGTCATATAATTATGTGTATAATAATTATGTATCTTGTTATAATCTATGAGTATAATGCATTGGCATGTTTCTTTTTATTGTTATTACAAATTTGCAATCATGTATTATAATTTCAAGACTTTTTTTTTCAATTTAGTTTCTTGTATATCATTTTATTGCAGTTTCATAAATTAATACTGAATTTAAAAATACTCTGTGTATTGTACATGCTATTTAAATGTAAACTTATAGGTTTTTGGTCTTTTGGTATCAATAAGTTGTAAAATATTTTTAAATATTATGTTATATTAAGAGTGTGCTACATCCCTATGCGTTCTCTCCGTCTTACAAACGCATATCATAGCAAATTATATGCTCAGCAAATCACGTTTAGCTTTATTAATTTAAAAATAATAGTGAATTGACCTATTATAAAATTTAGAAGTAAGAATATTAACTAGGGAACCTGATTGGGGTTTTTATATTTAAGTTTTAAAGCAAGTCATGAGTATTTTAAAATTGTTTGTGCATTTTAAAGTACTCATTACTTGCTACAAAATTAAAATATAAAAAAACTCTATGAAGTTGCCTAGATAATAATCTTACCTTTAGATTTTATGAAAGGTCAATTCACTCTAATTTTTAAATTAACGTAGCTACACATGTTCTGCTGAGCATAAAATTTGCTAAGTTAGGTACATACTTGTAAGACACTCAGAGACAGAGACAACACATGCAAGTATCACGTCCTCTTAAGGAAGCCTTTGGTCAAATGTAAAAATTCTATATAATTCCAATTTCCAAGTACTTTTCAAAATAGCCGAGAAAAACAACAAATGATAAACTTAAATTATTACTCAAAACCAATTTTTTACATAATCAATTTTGTTATTTTTGTTATAATTCAAAAATAAAATCTAGTCTTTACATCTAAGTGAAGTTTAAGTTTCCTAATTGTCATTTTTTCTTGTTAAATATTTTATTCTTAGTTTTATTTGATACAAAATGTTGTATATTATCCTTAGTTTCATAAATTCTATTACGAGATTGCACAAAAATGGATGTCTACTGAAATTAAACCATGTATACAACTTGCAAATGAACTACGAAGTCAGCTAGACGAGTGGAAATTAATGTTATCCAAGGTATAATAAATTCTAATATTATTGTATGATTGATGCAAAGTCTAAACAATCTAAACAATTGTTTAGACTGTAAATTATAGACAATAGTATATAAATGATTTTTAGATGGACGAATGTATGCAGCTCATCGGTATGTTAGAAGAAAAATACAGCGAAGTTTCAAAGAAAACAAACTCTTTATATTTGGCTGGAGAAGAACTCCATACCGATCAGGTTTTAAAAAATGTGTACAATTAGTTTTTAGTAAAAATTATATTTACATATTTGTTATAGACAAGTCTGAGTAACATATGTCAAGAAATCAACGAACGTTTATCCATCTTTAATGCTGCTGACTCTATACACTCGAAATTGGATTCACCTTCGTTCATTGTCACCAGTGAAATGTTTGCTAACATGATGATGTCCATTGATAACGGAATTAAATATATAAATTCACATGTTGGTATATTTGAACCATCATTATTAGCTTTTTATTTGTAACTATCAATTAATATATTATTTGTGTTACATAGATGTCATATAAAGAGAGCAATAAATATCTGGCTCTGTATGTAAATGCCAGGTACAAGGCTCTATCGCTTGTTCATACTTACATAACTCAATGTCTTCAAACAGGAACAGAGAGTTTAGATACAACTGAATTCATAGCACACTACGGGAAGTTTCAAGCAATTGCGACAAAAGTACGACCAGTGATAGAATTATTGGAAAACCGAAAAGATTTGGATCCAGTGTATGTTTGCTGTTTAATTCATTGGCCAGACTTATTAGTTATTAGATTAAACATCTGAAAATAACATCTTAAATTTATGTTCATAGATATGCTGTAGCATTGGAAGATTGTGTGCTGACTTATGTGACACGACGGAAAGCTCTTCTTGGTTCATCCATCAGTAATACACTGTCAAACTACACGTCAAGTGGGAGTGATTATTGTTCAACGTTACGTTCATCGTGTAAAATACTCATACAATTGACTCACGACGAAAACCGATTGTATCAATGTTTCTTTACAAATAAATCTCCAGTATTCAGGTATGGTACAAACATGTATGAATATTATTTCCATGTATATTTTGGTAGTTTGAAAGTCTTGTATTCTTTTGATTCTAGAGAATACCTGGAAACTGTTTGTATGCATTTGTATGACATGCTCAGACCATTAGTGATTCACATGAAACATTTTGAAACTTTAGTAGAACTTTGTACAATCCTAAGAATAGAAATATTACAAGACTATGTTTCTGAGGATGGTAACTAGAAAAAAAAATGATTTTATAACATTATATTGAGTTGAAAACAAACCGGTTTTTTAGCATCACTTGAGGTTTTTGGATCTGTAGCAGAGTTACTATTACAAGATACACAAGAGCGTTTAGTGTTTCGTGCCAATTTGTACTTTGTCACAGACATTTCCGAGTACAAACCTTCACCTGGTGATATAGCGTATCCAGAAAAATTAAAACAAATGGAAGCAATCGCTGAAGAAATGCAATATCGACAGTTGACTAGATACGATTCAACTGGAAGTTTAGTGTCATCAGTATCTGAAGCTCCATCAGTTATGTCAAAACAGTCTATTGGTAGGTATTCAAAGCTTTTTGTTTCTGTTTTTTTTGTCGTTTTATAATTGTATTATTGTGAAATATCTGTAAACATCATATTTTGGAGGGTATTATAATGAAATAAATCATCTGTTTTACATAAAACACACAATATGTAATAATTAACAGCTCATCATAATATATCATATCTACTATATGGTTAACACCTGCCACTTAACATATTGACTGCCATGCGGCCGCCGGTGGTCACACGATATGCATCATCTGAACGCAAAGTTCATTTTTCAGTGTCATTCCAAATTTGTATATTATACTATTTATTTTAAAAAAGTTTAAAAATATAAAAACAATTTCAAAAATATATTTTTTACATCAAAAAATTTGTAATGATTTGCGCTATACCACTTTTTGGTGCATTATTGTAGCGCCATAGAAAAGTTAATAATATAAAACCATATTCATTTAGGTCCGCCGGCGGTCATGTGGCGTGGTAGTAATGATCAACTGTGGCTGTCGGCGATTGCAAAAGCATAACATAAGAAATATACAAATGACCTGACCGCTGGCGGCCACATGGCAGTCAGCGTGTTAACATTAACCTACTATTACATCAAATAGAACAATATTATAATATATGTCTTCAGTGGCGTAATTACAGGGGGGGGGGGGGGGGGGTTTGAGTTATCTCCTCCCATGACTTTTTTTTTAAACTGGCAAACCATATTTATCAAATTCCTCAGAGATAACCATGTAAAAGAAATATTTATATTACATATAAATCACTATACTTATAAAGTTATAAGACTATAAGGACACTAAATTACAGCGTTATAATTTTTTTTTTCTAGGTGGATGGACTTCTGCTGCAGATCTTCATGGAATGTGGTATCCACCTGTAAGGCGCACATTGATGTGTTTATCACGTTTGTATAGATGTGTTGATAAAACAATTTTTCAAAGTCTTTCTCATGAGGCAGTTGCGTTGTGTTTGAAAAACATTCATCAAGCTGCTCTGATGATTTCTCAAAAAAAGGTAAATTTATTTGAAACTCTATTTTTTATGTTTGTTGGTAGTTTCTTCTTGTGCTTGTGAAAACTATTGAGATAAATTAAATATTTACTTCGTAAATGTATTATCCAGAAATCATTTCCAATCATTATATTATGTTACATGAAAGTATGAAATATTTGCACTGATATATAAAAAGGGTTTGCAATAAAAGTTAACAGAAAAAAATAAATGGGGAAAGTAGGTAACCACTCTGCTGTACAATAGGAGTCGAGTGTAACTTGTCTTTAACTAAGTTTTTGTAATGGATGTGTTAAATGTATTGGTTATTTAAATTATTGCATACAAAAAATGAATCTGAGAGGAGACCGTCTGTCAGCCTATTATCATTCAAACCTTAGATTATACAATGTAATACAAAGTTCCATATAAGTTGTTATTATAACTTTAATAAAAATTAATGACACATTGCCATGATGTTTTTTGTATAAGCATTTGAAGTTCCATTTGTTTACTTATATTTAAAAGTTTTCTGTGAACCATCTGCATATTCTATGCACTTGTTTCATGCTATATTTTAGATATTTATTGTCAAATTTAATTCTGAGATATTTTACTTGACAGTTTTATTTAAATATTGAATATATACAAAGTAAACATAATAATTATAACTCAACAAAAATCATAAATATGCAATACACAGCGTTAAATATATGTTAATTTGATTATTGATTTTTTTTTTTTAGACTCCAACAGACGGTTCTTTGTTTGAGATAAAACATTTGTTGATAATCAGAGAACAAATTGCACCGTTTCAAGTAGATTTTACTATAAAAGAACTGAACTTAGATTTTAGTAAAATGAAAAATGCCGGTAACATGTTATTTAAAATACATTTATACCACATTTTACATAATTTAAAAAAACTTGCACTTATATATTATACATGATTTCTTTTTAGCTTGGGGTTTATTTCAAAAACACGACAAAATGTTTGCTTTAAACTCTAGTAACTCAATCATTGAATTTCTACTGGAGGGAACACCAGTTGTCCTAGAGAACTCTGTGGATTCAAGGCGTTTAGTAGATCAAACATTGAAAGAGTCCTGTCAAACATTCATCAGTCATTCATCTAATGCATTAGTATCACCATTGTCTATGTTTCTGGACGAAGTATGTTTTGACTTGTTAAAGATTGACATGCTCTAAAACATTTACATTCTTCTTGCAACCTGTATTGTTTACAGGTTCAAAAGTATATTAAATGGTGTAATATGCAAGGGTTCCTGGCTATTGTAAAACAGCAAGAATTCGCCCAACCTAATGCTATTCACGAAAAGGTACAAGAATCATTGGCAAAAATCAAAAAAGATTTACCATTGATCCATCAGAGTATGGCATTGTACTTGGCCAATGGGGACACCCAGTTTGTCTTGTATAGGCCTATCAAGGTACGTCAATAAAAAAAAAAAAAAAAATGACCAAATATAATGTACTTATTTTTATATTTTTGTTTTTTAGAATAATATCTTGCACATGTTTACAAAAATTCAACAATTTTTAACAACAAACAGTTACACTAAAGAAGAACAACAATTAATTGCGTGCCCTACATCTGAACAGATGTCAATGTTGTTATCTACTTCAACTTTGGCATCAACTAAGTCGTAAGTACAACATTATATGTCTACACTTTTAAGTTGTTCTATTATGTGACTCAATAACTACGATTTTCTAGGAACTCGAGAAAAACAAGTGCTGTATCCATTGATGAACATCCGGCTGAAACCAATGAAAACTCTTCGTAGTATTAAATCAATTTGATTAAATTAAAATGGTCTGTGATAAATGTTATGAAATATTCATTCATTAAAAATATTAATCTTATTATTCATTACTCATGTTAGCATTAATGTATAGTTACAAGTAATTTTAAAACGCAGTTAATGGTCTAAAAGGCTCAGCTGTAGTATTTCCCCTGACAGTTAAGGATTTAGAGCGCTCTCTTTTCTTCAAATGTTTTTCAATTTTGATTTGTGCAATTTTTCTATTTTCTCTTTTGCGTTTCACAAATTCAATTGACAATGTGAAAGCAGCCAGCAATACGCCTCCGCCTAATAGTACAAACATACCCTGGACATCATCCAATGCAAGTTGACGGTCTTCAGGAGCAATTATTAAGTTTGGCTATGAAAATTTAAAACAATAATTTTTCAACAATATGATGAATTGATTCACTTACGTTTCTAACTCCAGACTTTTGTGTGATTTCCCATTCAATATCTTTAATTATTTTGGTTACTAAACCACTCTGTTGTGCTCGGAGTATGAAGTTGCTAAATATGTTACGAAATACAAAATTTTTTTTATAGGCTATACCAATATTAAATGGAACATAACACTCTGAAGCAACATGAAGGAATATTTTCTTGTTTTTGTATCTAAAATCATTAATATAATATAATTACTGGCTGTATATTTGTGAATTATTTTTATCACTCAAAATTTATATAGGTATATACTTTTGAATGAAGTTGTTTTGGGATAAATAAGTGAGTGAAATTTTTGAACCCAGAAATGCATAGTCTAATATAAACCTGGTTCTCACTATGTAATCTATTGCATCCTCTAAATTCTTCATAAGCTTTATATTCGACAATAACCTTTTAGACATTGTATCATTGGTAATATTTAAATAATGTTGCCAACCACCCTTATCTAAAATATAAAGTATAATTTAAATATAATATTGTTATTGAATTTATTTTCCTTTGTTATTATTATTTTTTCTGTTGTCAAGTTAAGAATTGTATTTTTTAATTATAGTTAGACAATCATTATTTTAAAATAAAACTAAAATAATAGTTTATTATTTCTTACATCTTTTAGTGTACATTTTTTATGACTAATAACTAATAAGTAGTTAAAATTTGTTTAGTGTTTCTAAACTTTTCTTGAATGCAGATAATGATTCATAAACTGATAGGAATACATGCCCCAGTCCCATCATAATTATTTGTTATTAGTTTATTAGGTACCTGCTTATTACGCAGTGCAAAAATATGGGAAGTTAATTTAGTTGTAAATTCTTTCTATTATTATCTATTACAGTCTTTTAAAGAATACTTTATTTTGTATTCAGAATACGTATTTGAATAAATGGGTTTATTGAATATAGTTAATACATTAACATATTAATACCTATACAAAGAAGTATTGAACATATTTATCAGTAGCATATCTATGATTTTTTCACAGGGGGATTAAAGATTTTAATAGACATATTCAGAATACACATAGGTAGTAACATATTCATATTATTATAGATATGTTGTATTGTGTATACAATGTGTTCTACGGGTGGGGGGTACATATGACCATTATACCCTCCCACCCTAGATACGCCACTGGTAGGTATTTATACTTGATACTTCATAGTAGTAGGTACCACAATAACAAAATATGATAATGTTATTAACAACTAACAATAATTACCGATACTAATATTATATTGATTAGAACTATTAGTTTTGTCACAAATATAAAACGTTATAGTTCCTTAAAAAAAGTATTTTTTTAATGAATAAAAAAATTCAAAAATACCTACATAGGGGCGTAGGGCTATTTTGATTACTTTTTTTAAAAATACCTATTTAAAATAATAGTATTTAAAAAAGAATTTGAATATTTTTAATTGAATTCAATAATTCATTAAAATACTTAACAAGATTTCAATTACCTAATGTCATTACTCTGTAGCCTTGATCGACCAATTGGTGTGATGTATCCACTATCACAGGTTGTTCTGGTAATGTTATGAATGCTATTATCGAACTAGTGTAGGCTGTCGTAATAATAATCGTAAAAATCCAATACGTTCCTACAACGAACAATAGTCGCATAATAGTAATTAGTAATAGAAATAAATTTGCCATTTAAATAAAATTTAAACATATAATAATAAGTAAGTAATGCAATCAGTAATATATACATAGCCTGATGGCCAATCACGAATCTGCAACGGCTGTAACAAATTCCTGTTTTACTCACCAATAAAGAGTCTGGTTGATCCCATTTTGGTATTGGTCCAAGACTTGATTCCCTTAAATGTGAACAGATTCGTATATGTACCGAACATATAACAGCACATGCTTTCCAGTTGTTTGGGACTCTTGCACAGCGTCCCCACATTGCGGTTATTTGTGAACGCTATGGGAAATATAGCCACCATATAAGTGATCACCACCATAACCCAAATGCTCCAATGAAATGGGCCGAATATAGCCCTATACCTATAATAACGACAGTTCAGATACCCGGTACCTACTCAAAATTTTAATGTAAGGCTCTTACCTAATAAAGTAACAAATAAAAATAGGGTTTAATAAAAAGGGTGATCAATAATTTAAATTGGCTGGTGCCTGGTCCGCCCTGGTTAAGCTTACTAGTAGAACCTAGTAATTTTGTGAACGTGCTTGAAGTTAGTTCGACCCCCTGCAATGTCTAATCTAAGTTTTGGGGCTGACTCCACATGATGCGTATTCTGCAATTTAATTTTTGTAGTAAAAATTATATTTCTGTATATAGTTTGAACTTTGAACTTTGAATAGTATACATACAATTATAACTGTTCGCTATGATTTGATGTTTAAGAAAAAAATTGTTTCTTATTTTTGGTTGTACCTAGTAAATAGTAATAATACCTAGGTAGGTACCTACCTATTTTAATTTTTTTTTTTTTTTTTTGGTAAGATGCTAATATATTATCTTTTAGATTCTGGGCGTAGCGAATGAATGTATTGTATTTACAATGATGTGTATTTTTTCTGTCCATCATCAACATTTGGAGTAGGTAGTAAAAATACTTCGATTTCCGACATCAGCATCTTCCCTGATAGGAAAGTGAAACTCTTTGGTACTTTTAAGAGGTCAATCCGTTTTTTGTATACAATGATTTATCATTGAATTAAAATATAACACATCCATTACAACCACATGTTCGACAGCTACACGAGTTCGGTACGTCTCAGCATAACCGAATTCAGTGGATAAAATGATGTTCAATAGTAAAAGTAATAATAAATTCAAAATTTGAATCACTTTTTTTTTTCAATTCCTGCCTAAGACGCTTTCCCTCTTAAGACGCTCTAGAGAGCTGTCCCCTTGAAGAGCGTCTTAAGCGAGTTTTACTGTACTGCGCAGCAATTTTTCTCTAAGAAAGTTGTAGGTACAAATTCTTAAATTGGTGGTATGAATTACTAAATAACTACAATAAATGGTAAAAAAAAATTGTAATTTTGAACATTGCAGTGTCAGAAAAACCTACATTCTCTTTTATTTCTACAAATATAGTTAAGTGCCAATTAGAAAGATTCAATGCCACGTTATCATGCTTTAATTGTGTGTGTGTGGTCTTAAAGATGGGTAGGTATAAGAAATATAGTAGGTATTTCCGTTCGGTTTGTATATACTGAACGGGGAGGAGCAACGATGTCATTATTATTAATATGCGTTTACTTGGACAAAGCAAATGATCCCAAAGATATGAATGTCCCACAATCTTGCAAGATAACAGGAGAAAAATCGACCAACGAATAACGAGCGTTGGTCATGTATAAACCTGAAATTCCGATATCAGCTTTGGAGGCCACTAGATCTCCAATGATCCGATCGTCAGCTTCGTCTCTAATGAAAAAAAATAACCTTGTGAATTATATTATATTGTTTTGATAAATTATTAAGAAAGTGATAAAATTATTTAAAATAATATAGTAAAATAAAATATAATAAAATTACATTAGAATTATTATACAATATATTTAAATTTTAAAATCAAAGAAATTTGACAAAAATAGGAAAAAGAGAAAAATATTTTCGAACGATGTAGATAGGTAGGTACAGTCAAAATTAAAATTGAAATAAAACTCATATTTGAATACCTACCTACTTTAAATTAATGAAATAATTATGCAATTATTTAACAGCGACACACCCAGGGGAGGAGCGCTTTGGGACTGAAGCCCCCAAAATTATTATTTATCATATTTTATTATATTAATAATATTTAATATACATATTATACATTATTATAGCATATTGTTTATTCATAAATATATAACAATGATGAATAATGATGTTTTTTTTTTCAAATTTGATTATTATCTAATAATACATTAATAGTACACATTAATAATAGTCGTAGCCCGTAGGTAGGCACATGCATTGGCTCAAATTTTAGGGGTGCTAAATGTGCTTAGCACCCTGAATTTTAATACTAGCACCCCGAATCCCGTGATAAAAACTTATAGTACTACCACCATAATATTTCCATTATAACTACATTTATTAAAAATTCAAAACCAGATTAAAAAAATGTTGATGCTTAAGCCATCCTGATATTTTTGGGTGATTTGCGTCTTTGGGTACATGACAAGGTTTGTGGCAACTGGCAATCGACAATTGATTATTATATCGTTGAGAATTATATTTAGAAAAAAATGATTATTAAAATTAGTAGTACCTAATAGTTTACTTGTGTGTAAGGGCGTAAGGCGAGTAGGGAAATTTGTAAGCCTCCCATCCCCTAACAAAATTCCTTAGTGCGTGCCTGTTATAAAATGTAAAAAACAAAAATGGTATCTTGAATCTTGATCAAAGACTCTAGGAAGATTCATATAATCATATATTATCATAAGTACCACACTAAATAGCCATAATAATTATAAATTTATAAAATAATTTCATAAATTAAATATGATATTATCTAGTGTACCACCTAATTCACCATTCTTTGTTTAAACTTAAAAAACAATATTATTTAAATGATTTTAAATGTAATAACTAATAAGCAACAATATTACTGTTCTAGATTTACCTGGATTTTGAAAAAGTTGCATCGTGTATTCCCAATGTAAAATTCAATACTCCCGCGATTAATTGTAACAATCTAATTTCGACCCCGTCCCACGACGTGGATTGTTCTTGAGTCAAAACTTTGTCGACGCTAATTAATGGACTAAATATAATGGGTACACACATAACATTAAGATCATAAAACACACATTATACGCCCAAAAAAGAGAAAAATTATTTTCTAAAAAATATAGTTAACTGGGTACCTCCGAAACACTAATGGCGGGTTTTCAATGGCAGACAAAATAAATCGATGTCCCCGAAATCCATTGACTAATTTGACCGGGTACAAGTCAACCTCCGGTCTCGTAAATTTATTCAGTTTCCACGTGGTTAAAATTGTTTGGGCGCTACTTCCTAAGCCGTCTATGTACATTTCATGTGTATATAACTTGATATCAGCTACTTCCTATATAAGAATAGTCATCGGGTGTTTCTATGGGTTATTTATACAATAAAATATATTTACTATACACAACAATTTGGTGCAATGGTAAAATTAATTCAGGGCCGTTCTCACTATGTCCGGTTAGGTAGTATAATAAAAGTGTCTCATAACGCTAACCGTCAGAATTTCTTTTGTGTTACCTATAGAATTCTGCCGGTTAGTCCTAACCGGACATGGTAAGAACGGCTCTTAATCTGTAAATGTATTTGTGTTATTAAATTTTAAATGTTTAAAAGTATTTATTAGCTCTACTCATTAGTCTACCCACATATATTATATGGTATATAATTTAATGTACAATTTAGGTACTTATGTCTTATATAGTTATATATGTATAGATTTTTTAGTAAAATATGAGTCATTAAGTAAAATATAAGTTATAGTACTTAGTAAGAATCAGGTAGGTATTACTAATCAGGTACTTGAACAATGCTGGTTAATTGGTTAATAGATACTTTAACAATGTTAGCTGACTAAAGCAGGCACGGATCCAGAGCAAAGATATAGGGGGAGGGGGGCAACAATTTTTTTACAACACAAATACAGTTATAATAAAATATTATACTTTATTCTTAATTTAAAAATGTTGTCATAATAGTAGGTATAGCCGAATAGGTAATCAATGTGATAAATAAATTATTGATTATTTAATATACATAGCGGCAATGTGAAAAGAAGTTTAGATTTTGTTTATTTGTTATTAAATATACAATATTTATATTTATAAAAAAATATATCTGGGGGGGGGACTGGGCCCCTAGCCCCCCCTGGATCCGCCCCTGGACTAGAGAGTATTCGTTACCAATTATCAAATTCAAAATAATAAATAATAAATATTTTATATTTATGAGCATAATTAATGTAGCATATATAATACGTGTTTGAAAGTAGGTACCTATCTAACTATAGTTTTTAACTTTAACTAAATAGTTTATAGGTACCTATACTGTCACTAACAATGCATTACCTATATTGTTAACACATAAATCTAACAACAATGTACAGTGTATTTATTAATAATGGAACTCTCAGAAATATTATTTTATTTGTTTTAATTGATTACATTTTTCTTTTTTCCCTGTAAGGCTGGACCGGCGGAAGCAATCAGTAAGTTCATAATATTTTGGGATGCTGGGCTTTTGAAAAATTCTTGTATTTGCCATTTGGATCCAATTGTTACTATGAATACTCTGCTATCAATCGAGTGGCCAAACTTAGTTGTCGTGATCTCAGGATCTTGACAAAATATTATATAATTGATGCATCTAGACTCCGAAACTCTAGTCTTTTTTGAAGAATATTCATAAACATGAAAGAGCTTGTACGATATCGTATCTAACGATTGCAACATTGTTTGTAGAACATCCTGAAATAATGTAGCCAAATGGTAAGAAAAAAATTAAATACACATTATATTGTGATCATAATGATCATATTGTTAAATAGTTTTGTTTTATATTTATTTATAAATTACAAGAGTATAGTGTATAACAAACAGCAAGGATCACTATAAAGTCAAAACGATGTAACCATTAGGGATACTACTAACCTTATAAAATGTATTTATTTAGTATTTACCTTATATAGTAATATAATATTATATCTATCTTTCAGCTATTATGCCAATGGCCTACTACCTAAATAAAATAAAATTTTTTTAATCATCGTATAAACTATAAAGTGTAGCTTGTACAAGTTAATATGTGTGTATTATTTTATGTTCTATAAAGTACACTAGTAAAGTTATATCTAAGTAAAAAAAAAATTTATAAAATATATCAGTATGGATAAAAAGTTTAAGTTGACTTTTCGTGGTAAGTACTATAGCAGTACCTATAGCAGATTATTATAGTTTAACTCTTCAAATCTGTACAAATATAAGTCCTTTCTTCTAAATTCAAGGTTTTGGAACAATTTTTTTGATTCTGAGCGGAGCAATGAATTTGTTATGGATTTTACAATGATGTCTGTTTCAGGTTTCCTTTTGTTTTTGTATAGTATTAAAAATACTTAGATTTTCAACTTTAGGAGAACGTGATACCCACCTGTGTTGTCTCTGTCTCTGTCTCTGAGTGTCTTACAAGTACGTAACTTAGCAAATGTTATGCTCAACCGAACATGTGTAGCTCCGTTAATTTAAAAATTAGAGTGAATTGACCCTTCATAAAATCTAAAGGTAAGATTATTATCCAGGCAACCTAATATAGATTATTTTTTTTATTAATTTTGTAGCAAGTTGGATCTTTTAAATTGTTTGTACATCTTAAAATACTGTTATTAGTGGCCATTTTTACTTTTGGTTATTTTAGGTCAGACTTTAAATTGCAAATGAACTTGGAGTGCAATTCAAAATCAGTTTACTCGAAAAATTGTATTTAGTTGGTGCCCATTGCGAAAGGTCTATAGGTTTTGTAAAGTTAGCTTACAAAATTCATCAAAATCATGAAAATGTACAAACCATTTTTTTAACGAAATTAGATATTTTTTTAAGAATAATGATTTTAGTTATGCTGTAATTTAAAAATATTATGCATGGGTACCTACTTGACACTTTTAAAGTTTATTTTTATATTTTATACACATTATTACGTTTCCAAATGCTATGTTCTCAGCAAAAATGAATTCAACCTACCTATTGTAATTGTAAAATAAATTACTTTAATATAAATTGTAATAACTAATTATACTTATAGCCTATAGGTACTATCATTATGGTATAAAATATGTATAATCATTTATAATTTATAACACATCGATTGGATTCTGTAACAATGTTGTAACTACTAACTAGTACCTAACTGCTAAAATATATTTTTTTGGAAGTAATTTAAAATCATTATTTATTAATTTTGAATTTTTATTATACGAGTTTAAAGATAAGTTTATCTGGAGGTGGAGAATCCCTCCCCCTCTTAGTTGCGTTTATAGGTTTAAACAACGAACATAGTTCAATATATATATATACACCTTTATGTTTATATTGTATAGTATAATTTATTAATGAATTATATTTATAATTTGTACAAGATTTTTCTATAAAAATTATATATTATAAAAGTATTACAAAGGTATTTTGAGATAATGAACTTATAATTTACATATCTACATCATATGTATCATATTCATTATTATTTATCGCAATAAGAGTACCTAACTAAGACTATAACTGTAGCGGGGTCATCGGCCATTCGGTCGAATAGTATATTAATTTAATAATATGAACTCATAGTTTGTACCACCGCTATACTTCTAGATATAGGTACTGAACCTACCGGCTACCATACTAATTACTAATAATGATTTATGGTATTATGATATAGTACATATTGAGTCATTGAGTCAGTAATAAATAATATTATGTAGGTGGGCAATTAGAATTCTAAATTCTTGATCGACAAGAAACAAACTCAATTTTATGCAATATGCCAATATGATATTATATTAACAGTTATAATATACCTAAATTTATATTTTCCTACCTATTCGACATCTGTAGAATTATTACATATGAACACCAATAGTGTTACACCATATTATTATATTGATGCTTCAGATGCTTGATAATATTGATAGATTATCAGTAGGTATAACTAGTAACACCTAATATTTAGGTATTTGATAAATTTAATAGGTATTATAATATAATACTTTTAGCGTTTGTTCATCATTATTATTAGGTAATCGATCGTTATAATAATTTGTTTGTATTTTAGTAATAATCTAACCGATACCCATACCATAATACGAATATTATCTAATATCATACAGAGTGTTTAGTAAATACAAGTAATTAATCAAATATTTTAAGTTTACAAATTGATTAAAATTGTCTGTTATTTTAACTTTTTGTCATCGCTTTTACATCGGTATACATATTATATAGGCGCGCATTAGGAGAAATTGAGTAAAGTTTATTAGTGCTAAAATAATTTGTTCTAAAATCCCTTAGGCCTATATAGAAACATATACAATATAAGCTCTTTCTTTTTTCATTTCTATATACTACGTTTTATTAAACATATTTTAATAAACATAACAGTAAACAAATGGTTTATACGTAATACTATAATAAATTGTTCAATGCGGAAATGCCAAAATGATAATAGTAATTTATTTATTTATTAAGTAATTTATTCAAGGTTAAGGTTTTGATTTTAAAACTTAAATTTATCATATAAATTGTATTGAACAATTTAAAATTCAAACCACAATTCGGTTCATAAGCAATTTGTGAAATAAATTACTCTGAGAAATTGGGAGTATTAATTTGAAACCTGGGGGTGCTTAGCTACACCCCAGTAATACCCCAAATACCTTTTTATATATGCCTACGTATAAACAATGTACATACAACTTACCATAAAAGTCTGAAGTCATATTAAAACGTTCCTACGGTATAATATATAGGTATTCATTTATAATGAGTAAAATTCAGCAAATTTTAAAGAATCTTTCATTTTAAAATATATAATTAATGTTGTTTTACCTTTAATTACAGTAGGTACTACCTATAATGTATAATATGTCTATATTAAATTAGATAGTTGATAGTTACTATATAGATTATAGACATATAGTATGTATATATTTATGTAATCCAATCATTTTTCAATATTGGAGCTATTTAATTATTATAGTTATAACTTATTACTTTATTACTATTTGTAATGTAATTTAAAATAGTGCTCAAAAAACATATAAAGAATACTATGCATTGCACATTCGTACAATTGCACATGATATGTATGAATAAAATACAGTAAAACTTCCATGGAATGGTCACCGAAGGGACCGGAAATAATGATCTCTATTTAGAGGTGGGCGTCCTACAGAGGTGCAATACTTCCAGATGACCGCTACATTATAGAGTGCATAAAAAAAACCAAATACAATATACCTACACAATAATTTGCAAAACCGCCAAAACCATTCGTACACAACATTATTGATATTAATAATTGATTTGGTTATACGACGTTTTATAGTTTTCATTTCATCATTACCGTTGGATTTCCATAGTTTTAAAACCGTATCTTTATTCTTTATTAAATCGGTGGCTTGAGTTCTCCCTATTCCAAATTGGTCTACGCTAGCACGAGTGCTCACATTTTCTTGTTCAAAAATTTCCAACAGCCTCATTTTTTCTGCTACAGTTAGGTGTTTTTGTGTGGAAGTCATCATAACCACGCACTTCAAAACATTTTCAACTGCAGACACTAACAACTAATGAACCATAATAAAATACACAGACCCAGCTTGTCTATAACGTTATTGTAAAAGTTCGATAAGATCACTATAAACTGCCATACATAATTTGGGAAAACCATATAAACATGAACATATTTTCTATTATTTTATCTTATAATTTTACAGTTATTTAGAGTGCCCTCTATATAGAGTATTTTTTCCATAGCACTTGACGGGACCAAAATAAATTACCGTTACATAGACGTGACCGTTAACGGAAGTTATATACTGTGTATATTATTGTCTGTTCGAAGTTTATCATAAGTTAGGTACCTTTTTTATATTAAAAAAAATAGCTTTATATTTATACAATATGATTACAAAATATAGTAGGTATGTAAGAATAATACATAATAATATTATCTATATATTTATAAGCCAAATACCACTCATTCAGTGGCCTAGACAGGAATTTTCATTACAAAAGTGACCAAGTGGGTACTGATCTGCTGTACAGTAAGTGTCTAGATAAGTAAATTCAGAAATGTATTGGCATTTGCAGAAAAAAAATAGTTTGAATGATAATATTAAACAACAGTCGACATGAAACGAGAAACGGTTGATTTATAATCATTGCGGTAGCCAGTAATATAATCCAACTTTATCCGTTTTGGCATACTTCCGTCTTCTGCCATTTAATTAAGTGTTATTGTTATATCATTAGATATTATTTACAGTAAATAGTAATTATAGTACAAGTTCTAACTTATATGTATAAAGTATAATATATTATGCTAAGATACCTATTGTAATAAATTATTGTAAATTATATATTTTGTATTTCTCAATATATAAGTGTTTAAATTTAAAATGTATAGATATATAGACATATAGTTATTAACTTATTCCCTAATTATTGCCTATTTTATAAATTATTGATAAAACATTCAATAAATAACATTTTAATAACATGTATCACCTTTTTAGTATACACAATGAATTAATGTCATTAATATTAATATTTACCTTGTAATACAAATCGGTATCAAATAGATCGTCATAAATTATATTCACATGACAACTGCTCAAGTACTTGTTGATGATTTCATTAACCAAAGACTTTAGTACTTTGATTTCGGGGTTTTCTTTCTAAAACCAAAAAAA